AACAGCTCTAAATAAAGAACGTTTGAGTGTTAGAGCGGTCGGTGGTTCTTAACATTTTGTATTCCACGTTTCAACAAATCAGCAATGGGTAATCCGAGGACCGGCATCTTTTGTATCAGTATTTACATAACTTAGAAATATTGCTAAGACGGGCAAGTCTAAACCTATTTACAGAAAATATTAATGGCATTATGTGATATTAAAATCGAAAGAATGCGAAGGCACGAGCACATTTGAAACAGCTTGTCAGAAATTTCTCGTTGATGTGTAGGCCTAACGCCCAGAAAAGCGATTCTTTTTAACTTCGGCTACCTGAAGACACTTGGTGCAAAATGTGTTACGTCATCAAATGTTCAAATTGAGCTTCTACGCTTATACACATATCGATCCGCATTCTGAGATTGGTTACAACTCTGTGTAACATTTCGCCACCGATTTTCCTGAATTCTTTTATAATTGCCTGTTTTTTATTCTACCTACTCTTGTGGTGTATACGCACTCATTTTTCATAGAAAGGGCATATCTGCAAGCAAACAAAAAAGGTAATTTAAAATTAATGTAACATTTGATTTAAAAATTATGTTTTCTCTAGGAGAACGGACTTCTGTTACACCTGTATATTTTTACTTGTTTTGAATTCTTTATCATCACTGAATCCCTTCAAATCCATTATCTTACATTTCCTGTTTTGTTTCAATCTACTTCCAATTTATATACCATTTAAGCGTTTCCCCATTTTACTAATGACCGGAAATTCTTCTGAAGCGCTTTGCTGAACGTAATCTCCGTGAATTTTCACTGTAATCCATGAAATCCTTGAACCTATCAACTGCCACGGTTACTAGACAGTGGAGATTAGTCTATGCTACGGTTTATTTTATATCGATTTTCTTACTGTGCTTAAACATTTCAAATGTAATTACTGTAGGATGAAAATAAAATAAAGTTGGTTACTGTTTTTTTTAATTCGCTGTTTTGAAATAGCAATGGATTTCACTCGTTTCATTTGTCAGTTCGTGCTGTTGTTCTATTATGTCACTGCTCAAGTCCATTAATTTAAAGTGAATAAATTAATTGTTATCCAGTGAATTTTAACTAGCCCATATCCTATTTGAATGTAGGAGGAGTTGCTGCGTATTAACGCTGATTAAAAGAAAGTGACTTATGTAGGAATATAGAAGTAGCCTAGTCGTCAGTAAAGCCTTAAAGTGACGACATTAGAGTGGTGTTAAAAGAATCCTTGCAGATTGATGGACCCAGTCGAAGAAAACAGGAAAGGGATTCAGAGATGGTTGGACTGCTCAATTACAAGCCAGCACAGGGCAAGGATGAGGACGAGACGATTTAATATATACTCTTTGGCTGATGGTGTTAGTAATAAGGTACTGAGATTACTCTAAAATATTTGCTTTACTTCTAGAGGTTTTTTTACGTACTATCGTGTACATCTCACTGGATCAGCAACCCAGTAAGTTAACTACACGTTACGTGTTAATGTTAGGATATGCTAAATAAAATATTTGTGTCCTGCACATGTTGGAGAAAGTCTGTCAATGATTTGTGGTACCAATAAAAAGTAAAGCACACCATGTAGGTTACTTGGGAGAAGAGAGGTATAGCTCCTACTCATTCTTGACCTCGGCACTAGATGGGGTGAGTGGTGAGCATCACGCCCCGGCCGTGCTTTAACCCCGGGACTGAGCTGTTGCGGACCAGAGGAAGTGTAATTAATAGGCCTATAGAGGAAAACGTGTGCACATCACGTATTTTTCGGTGATATTAAATTGTTTAATAATTCCGATTTTCAGAGCGGTGACTTGGGTTAATATTTGTAAACGTATGCCCGGAAGTGTCTCAAGTTTCTTGTCATTTATGGTTCGCTAAGTTTATGGTATATTTATTTTCGCAAGTCATGCGCCCGTTTCGGTATTCGTTACTTCTGAAGGCACAGTAAGAGCTGTTGCAGTTTTTAAGGCCCCCATTCACGTTCGGTTATATTGCACAATGAACTTGTTTGACGTCACATTTATACATTTATTGAACAAACGCTACGTAAAAATCGGGACTGAAGATCTATAAATTGTGTAAATACCTGAGTAGGTTGCGAAAATCGTGTCGCTCTTGTGGATGTCGTCAGTATTATTGAGCAAAGTGGTCTAAACTGTTGCATGCGCTGTGTAACTAGATGTTCTATATAATAAATACATAAAAGAAAAAGCTACAAAGTAACATTTCTTAGTCATCTTTAGCTGGTGACGCATTTTCTGTGCTACTATGATAAACTACAGTAGCTGTTTCTTCTTTATCGCGACCTATTTACCTGAGTTCATTCAATTTTTGTGCAAAGCGGGTAAAGCAACCTGGTTCTTTAACGACCGAACAACTTAGTGTAGCTATAACGCTAAAAGAAACATGCTTGTTTTCGGACTGTATCACGTTTCAATCTCGACAGAGTTACTACTATCGTGAAGGCTTTGTAGTTTTACCAGTGGTATTCAACCTTTTTTTTCGCGTACCCCCAGATATAATTTCTCTTCAACTTTGTACCCCCAAAGTTGTTGGTGTATAATTCAAGTTATACAAAGTATATAATCTACATCTAAAATAAATTAAATAAATTACATTACTGATTATTCAGTGTTTATCATAAAATAATATTTTTTTTAAATTTCACGAACCCCCTAAGATGTCTTCGCGTACCCCCGGGGGTACGCGTACCCCAGGTTGATTACCACTGCTCTAGACTACTATTTTCCTCTCCATCTCTGGTCACCTTGTAGTCTCATTCTATGGTACATAGCCGAGCTCTTGTTGGTGAAACAGTACAGGTCATGATGTAGGAATCAAGCTTTTGTATACGTGTCACATGTTGATTAATGTTTAACAGCCTGGCTCTATATTCTAGTGCGTTCGCCATGAAAAGTTGTTAAAATGCGCCTGTTTGCTTCATCACGTTTGCATGTTTACTCGAAAACCACTGACAGGATTTTTGTGACATTGGACTCTCGGGAGTTCACCTAAAAATTGTATTCCTATTATAATTAAAGTAGGACAACAGTATTGGACACGCTGCACGTGGACCTTCATGCGTTTGTTCTCGCATATTGAGTGTAAATTTTTTTAAAATATTTATCGAAGCCGGAAATGTTTGGAACAGAAGTTGTTGAGAAAACTGAAGCATGTTATATCCAGTCTATTTGTTCCTTCAGCCAATTTTTTTTTTTCTGAACACGACAGTAAAACTATTGGGCCGATTTTGATGAAATTTTATGTTCATGGCTCATTTTGGTTTTGTGCGGTTTGTAAGAGACAACTTAGCATTCACAAATTGAAAATCTAGAGGCAAAACAGAGCGAATTCGCCAGAAATGTTACGATATGCCCGCATGTCCTCGGCCGTAATAGTATGGCATCTTTTCCCTAGTGTTTGTTTAACAGTTCCATGTTGCTACTTCCAGTAGGTTTGGTTTTCTTTGTGCTTTATGCCACCTGCCAATTCTGAGCTAGTAAATGAAATTTCAAACACAATGACATTGCAGTATTCAAGGAAGTGCGAGTCGGTGAAGAAGACGAAATCGCCTATTGGTCCAGGAGGCGGAGGATACGATCCACTTATTTGTGTTTCGTTTGATATTTTATTTGTGTTTAATTTGAAATTATTTTGTTATCATTCTGTCAATATTTGGTTTCGAGTTTTTTTATCGACATTTCTTCGTTTATAAGAAAATGTATACTTGCGGTGGCATTTATTTGTATGGTTTTTCGCAGTAGGCAGAATTTGTCAGAAGACGTTCGTAGCCTACTCTTATAGAAGAAACATTAATCCGGTGTTGTGATGACAACCATAATTCCTAAGTGAAAATTCTGTTCCTACCTTATTATTTTCAAAGTTGCTATTACAAAAATCAATTTGTTTATGCAGATTAAATGGAAATAAGTGTAAAGAAAATGGCGTTATTTATAGTGGTCTTTTAATTGAAAATTGATATGGCAGAAAAATGTTTCGTAAATTTTCCATTATTATTATTTATTTTTATTTATATTATTTTATTAAAAATCTATTCAGTCCTCCTTCAGTTACTGCACGCGGCCTGACAGACAGACAAACACACGCCCTTACTCACTTTTCAAAATTGTCCCACCATTTGTTATTCCATTATTTGTAATCTTGTTTAATAAAGTCATAGAAGAAAGTGAAGGAACTCGAATGTTGCTTTGTGCAATTGAGGCGTGTTATTTTTCAACACGTGTTTCCAATTGTTTCAACAATATAATGATTAACAGTTTATCACGTATGTATAACCCTTTAAACCCGAACTGTAATTATTAATTCGGCAGTTTGTATGTATGGGGTCTGCAAACTTGAATTATTTCCATAAACAACACAATCATTTGATCTTTGTAATGGTCAAGAGTTGTATTTTCTTTGCAGTACGGACTGAATTCTTAAGCATTATTTAGACGAGTTTTGACTTCAAGGGATTAAACAGTTATTTAGATGTGAACTGGGTTCTGGAATATTTCTCTGTAACGAAAAGTAGCTTCCAATTTTCGTAATTAATACACGAGCCATTTAAAAAATTAATGCCTTATAGTTAGATAATTTAGGACTGAGTTCTCCGAACTGTCGGCCCAAGGCATTGATCTGCAGTATTTAATATCAGCTTGAATTGAGCTTTTTTGTGTTTATCGTTTGTTTATTATCGTCATACAAGTACGCTGACTTCTTGTTAGATTTTTGTACGTACTGTTTATACCATGCCATTGAATTCAATGTATATTCTCTGTACAAAGAAGATGTTTTGTTATGCAGATGTTTGCTGTGTTCCCAGAACATTAACAGTGACCTTCTTTAAAGTTGAACTAATCCTCGTGTGAAGTAACGAGATCGACTGCTTTGAACCTGTACGCCAGTGGAAGACGGCCGACTGGAGTTGGTGTAAACTAGGAAGTGTTGGTAGACCTGTTGGGTGGCATAACTCTCGTCCCTCGTTCGTGAAGTCTGGCTGTCGCTTGGCTTCGTGTGGCGGGCATCGGTTTCCTTCGCCAGTAGAGTAGTAGGACTCGTTCGGTGAGGTTAAGTACAGTGTGTGCGTTTGGTATTCTTGTCATTACGATCACCTCATGTCTGCCACCAAACACCAGGAGAACTACTCAACTGAAGAGAAGACAAGAAAACAAAACGTGTATGTAATTTTTGTAATCGTGACGGCAACTGGAAAAAATGGAAAATTCTGTATACCGGCATCACAGTCATCGGCCATCCGTCCACACTTCTAAATTGTAGAAATTTTATCGTGGTCATGTGTGTGAAATATGCAATTTTAGCTTCACTTGTCGACACGGCGTTGTGCCTGCAGTGATGTGTTAGTGTATTTCTGTATTCTGAGGATTTGTTGATTCTTTCACGAGGGGGTTACCGACCGCACAGTGATTAATAATACCATTATGTGTGAATTCTAATGTTGTATGGTAATCAACATTTTTTATTGTGGCTTCTTGTCGATAAACCGCATAGCCATATTCTAAATGGTTTTGAAGGGGAAACAGGTGCGTGGTTGGTATTGATCGGTGAGGGCTACTGCAAAAGGAGAGGGTTGTACCATGAATGTGCTTCCAGCATCAAGAGCAACAGCTTCGTGTGTGTAGGCCTAAAAGTGTGTATGTAGTAGCAGCCATGCTAGTATAACGTGTTTGGAAAGAGCACGTGTTCAAGTGTAGTTCTGTGTTCAAAGCCAATATGTCAATACGTGTTAGTGGTGTGTATTTGGTTCCTTCACCAGGACAGCCATCGTCTCCTGAGAAGAGTGATGGCACAGGAAATTGTGGTGTAGTGGCTGTTGTTAAACCAACGGCTGTGACAATAGTAACGCCACAGCGGAGCAACAGTTTGGATTATTTGAATTTTGAAGAGAAGCGGCAGTTAATAGCATCTTCACTATCGCTTTCAGACTTTCTGCATCATGGGCCTGCTGCGGCAGCCAAAGGTGTAGCAGCTACAAAAGTCATCGTTGGTAAGTTCAAGGTTTGGGGAGTAGAGAGCAACTCCTATTGCTCGAGGGTGAATTTAAAATCTGAACGCCCTCAAGCCGTGTAATATAAATGCTTATACAGTAGGCCTCTTTATGGTTTGGAGTTTGATATACCGTGGGCATGATGATCGTGTCCCCTGAAACGAAAATTAAATGAATGTTATTTTCACTTGTAACGCTGTAACTGCTGTTTTACGAGTGCCAGCTGTATTCTACCTTCCGTCAAAAGAAGTGTTGGTATAGCCTTAACGGAGATGTAGTATTAATAATATTCTTATCAAAATGTTATATGGTGAGTACTGAGTTTCGATGTTGGGCAAGTTTGTGTGAACCAAACGTTTTCCCGGTAAACACATTTTTATTTGCATCCGGCCCAATATAACCGATACCTCTGACGAATATCAAATCTCGTTTTATCATTTTTCTGAAACATGGCGTAACGTACGAAATTCCAGGAAATACAATATAGATCTCATTAAGCTGTACAACGTTTGTTTGAAACAGTTTAATGGTGAATATGTAAGGAGACAAAAAATCCGACTCTGTGAAATTTGGTGTCAGTAATATGAATAGCATTACAACCATGGGTTTTTATATAAATACAATACCAATACCAGTGATGTAGGCATATGAAAAATTACAAAAACATTAATAGGGTCTGTGGAAAATGTGTTTTACGATAGAGTAGGCCTACATCTTTTTAGCTTCTTTTAATTTATGGCCGGAACAATGAGGATGAGAAGCTTGGCGCTGTTTCAGGTTTTCATGGCGACGGGTATGAAGATGACTCTTCTAGGATATTGCGCCATGTTGTCTGGTAGATAATGGCCGATATTTCAGACATGCTTTCTGGCTCCAGCATCAAGTCGGTGGTCACCATGATGAAAGAGGCCTAAACATATCTGAAACGTCGATCAATATCTACCAGACTACACGGTGCAACATCCCGGAAGACAGTTATCTTCATCGATGGCGCTTGTTTTCCCATCAACTTTGCAATGTCTGGGCGTATGTAACCCCCTCCCCCCCCGGTGAAATAGCCTACGTGTCACATTGAGTGGTAAGCAGTGGATTCCCAACCAGTTTGCAACTGAGATTCAGTTTTTTCTAGTCTTCTGTATTTCGTTTCTTTTAATGTTGGGGAAAGTCGCCGACATCTTTTCATATTACAGCATTTTTTTTATCACGGAATCAGGTTAACAGTTTAAAACTGCCATTTTGTTATCCTTTCTATCGTGTCGCAAACCTAGCACATGCTCAATACCCAATGGAAATATTTGAAACATTATTATAAAACTTAAGATGACTAGTTCCCCACAATTATATTTTGAATACACATTTGCCAATTCTGAATAAAGGAAATCCTGTGTTATTTTAACTTCTGAATAGTATCTTTCATCATATTGCCCAGTCTGTAAATTACAGTCTACTATTTAATTTCTCTTGGCAACTGTGTTGCTAATGGCAAAAAAGAGCTGTTGAGAGAAATTGATTGTGACTCGTTATAAGACAGTAGGCACTGTCCCGGAATTTGACCGAGGGGACTGACAAAACGGCAAGCCGTTCCCTGCCGGGCTTCGAACTAGATGCCCCCACATTAGTATCCAAGTCTTTCAGGGCCGTAATAACTTTCTTAATCATCTCGTTTCTTTCAGCCTATGATTTTATGTTTTCTGTATCGCCGTAAATGTCGTTAATGAAAATGTTGAAAAATTACAGCGTACGTAGTTTATTGGAAGCAGGTTGTAATGACGAAAATGTAACGTAGGCCTAAATGAAAAGCCGTTGATATTGCGTATACTTGGACCACCCATGTTCATAATTGTGCTGTTAGCATTGGTTTTATTTGTCGTTGTTCAAACAATGTTAATTTGTGTAGTTTCACCTTTGCTCGGCGGACTGATAAAAGTACAGATGTTGTTTCTTTCAACCGAGCTCACTCTAAACTCGTGTTAAATTAATCTTCCGGATGCAATTAGATCTACTTTTACTGCACACATGCCTACATTTATTATCACTATAGGGTCTGAAGGTCACGGAACAAGGAGACTATGTGGTGTACAAGAAATTTGGTTATGTATTGTACAAAGAGTAGAAGGCAGTATGATAATTAAGTGGTTACTAAGTTATTTTACGAAGCTGTATCAACTGCAGAGATAATGCAATGTCGAAGAATGAGGTTTTGTGAGACTGTCAGATATAGATCCCGAGGGATGTAGTTGTCTATTTGAAGGCAGTTATTGATATATCCAACTAGATTTATGCGGCTGGATCGTGTAGCTGACGACTCCTAATTCTAGACCTAACCTAACCTATGTGCATTGTGCTTTATCTGAACGTGCACTGTACGTTTTTGTGTTCTGACGTCTAGTAACTGGGGCATTAATGTTCCTACTGACCGACGAGATTTTTAACTTAACAGATAGGATATCTCAAATGAAGCAAAACTGGCATAACCATATCCAAAGGATGCATGAGGAAAGAATCCCGAAGGCGGTACTTCAATACAACCCACAAGGACGAAGAACTGTTGGCCGCCCATTAACAAGGTGGCAAGACTCGCTCTCTCTTGATGTGGAAACAGGCGCTATGGCCTAAATCCATGAAAGAAGAAGAAGAAGACTAACACTGTCATAGTACTTCACCTTAAATTATAAAGTATACCATAATATCGGAGCACGTCTTGCTTCCCTAAACAAATTATATAATTGGCATTGAGAAATGGTTATAACCTCTATATTTCCAATGTATAGCGATTATTTAATGCCTACTTACTTCCCACCCAGCCTGTAGTTTCTTGGGGTTTGTGAGTGACGTGCGACTCGCAGGATCACTCCATAGTACACAATTTCTTACTAGTAGGCTGCATATATAAGTAGTGATGTAAACATAATTTTAGGTAATATATTTATTTATTTCCGTCAGTACACAAACTTAGTTGTTAAAATTGGTGTTATTAAAGCTAAAACTTTAAAATTTGGCGCTTAACATCGCTATTACGATGTTACAATTTTAGCGCTCATTATTTTATTTCACAACATGTTTCAATGCAACCGCATCATCTTCAGGCTATTTTTGTCTTTAAAACTAATGTATATTTATTATGCAACTACAAAACAAACAAATCAACGATAGTTGCATAATAATTATACATTAGTTTTAAAGACAAAAATAGCCTGAAGATGATGCGGTTGCATTGAAACATGTTGTAAAATAAAATAATGAGCGCTAAAATTGTAACATCGTAATAGCGATGATAAGCGCCAAATTTTAAAGTTTTAGCTTTAATAACACCAATTTTAACAACTAAGTTTGTGTACTGACGGAAATAAATAAATATATTACTGAATTAAGCACAAACATGACGCATTCAAACTACAAATACATAATTTTAGGTATTGTGTGAATCGTCATCTGTTCTTTCAAGATTAAAGTTACTAGTTCCGGATACTCAAAACCTAAGAATGTTGTTATAGTTTTCACTATTTTGGCTTGCAAAAGGCGAAATTCTTTCTTCTCCAATTTGTCCTTAGCCAATTCTGCATACTCTTAATTTTAATGTAATTTAATTTACCGTAAAATTGTATCTTTCGTTTGATATAATCGTACATAGCTTCTGGTACTTCTTAGGAAATTAATTTAAATTGCATGTCTTTGTTCATCACTAGATTTCTATTATTATTATTTAGTGTTCTGTCTGACGACAGGTCCATATGAACAGGATCCTTCCATCCTTTTCTCGGACTGGGACCTGATCATATACGTTCTTGGCAGATGATACAGAAGTGGTTTGCCATTGCCTTCTTCTGTGTGTGAATGGAGTAATTGTTGGGATGCCACGGAGAAACCGGGGAAGCCCCCGGAGGAAAACTCCGTGTTGCCTAGACCACGGCCTTGCCCAACACAAGTTATAAATTCGTGCACCGCCGGGAATCGAACCCGAGACCCCAGGATTACAAGGCCAGCGTTCTAACCACTAGACCACAGAGTTTAAATTGTATGCGAATTTCTCTGTCTGTACATATCAAAACCTGACATTTTACAATTCTTAAAATTGCTTGAAATCGATGTAGGTTAATATTTATTACATTTTCCTTAAGTTAGTCTTTGTGACTTGTCGTCCTCTCTCACGACTTAGACCCTGCGGTCTGTTCTGATTCACAGATAATTCTTAAGTCTTTTGGACATTGGTAGGTCTCCTTGGTCTATCACAAGGACTGTACCACACAAATGGCCCGAAAATATTCCCGTGTTCCGAGCGGGATTGAATCCCGAGAACCGTGCGTTCGATCTGTTCAGTATAGTGCGCTCAAAAGACCGCAGCGCCACGCCCGTAAGTACACTGATCTACTGACTAACTTAATTGACTGCAGGGATCAGAGTCTTTGAGAAGCTTATAGTCACTCATCTATTAAATAAATTCGCGGTGTTTTAGAGCTCGAAATTTCATTATCTCGTCCGCAAGACTGTTATTGAAACCTTGTTTGAGCTAGGTGAAAGCATATAATTACCCATCATTTATCGAATTAGGTCTGTTTTGATAGTATCTTCCCATTTGCGTCTACATTTTTAAGTCCCTTCTTCCGTTCACATTTTGCGGCAAAAATTGTGTATGCTTTACCCATCTCGCATGCGTGCTACATGTCTCTTCTATGTTATCGTCAGCGATTAGGTCACCCTAATGTTTGGGGAAGCGTGCAAATTAGGAAGCTACTCATTGCACAGTTTCGCTCAGAGTCCTGTTATTTATTTTCCGTAATGTCGATATGTTATCCTCAGCACCCAGGCCTCTTGCTATGCTCTATGATCTATGTTCTTGTAGGAGAGAACAAGTCATACACCGATACTAACAAGACAGGTTTGTTGGCTTATAATGTAACCTTTACGTCATGGAAGGCGGGAAGATAGATGGTTCTGAAGTGAATTGTAGCAAACATTTCTAGAATTTAATTTGGGTTTCATTTTCTCATGAATGTAACATT